GTTCACGCATTTACCTTCCTCAGTAATACAGTTAGCTTATTTTCCTTTGATATATTCACCTGAAATAAAAGGCAAAACTATGAATCAGTGATTCAAACAAATTTGGGCAATTTCTTAGAAAATATCCTCAAGATTGCTTTTTTTTCATGTGTAAGAGAAAAAATTCACTATTTTGCAAGGAGAATGAGTTTAAATCCTGCTCAAAACTTTAAAACTGTCCTGAAGGCTAAGGATGTCTCTCAGTTGATAGAGTGCTTTCCTGTATGCACAAAGCCCTGGGTTCAATCCTCAGCACCAAAAAACAAACAAACAAACAAACAAACAAAAAAACTGTCCTGAATTCACAGTGAAATATCTGTTCATTCCACAAGAAAATGACGTAGGATTTAAATTGCCATACAACTTCCTTACACCTGCTGATGCTCTAAGGTAAACAAAACCATCATGCCTATATGTATGCTCTAAGAGTCATCTGTTTTATACCCACTTCTGAAAAAAAAATTGCACTTCAGGACCTAACTAAAAATAGAGAAGAGATCATAGGTGTTTTTTTAAATTATGAAAGCAACCAGAAATTGTTTTCCCAGAAGTATTTCTCAAAAGATTTTCATTTAAGAAAAAAAAAATCTATCCACTGGACCAAAGTTATATTCCTCAATTCTTCTGGGAATTTTGGGACTGTAAATTTACTTTGCATTTTGGCAATAACCACTTTCTATGCACTCTCTCTCTGGAGGCTAGTACTGTTACTTAGACCCAGAGCAGCTCAGGAATTCTATTAGTTCTGATTAACTCCTCCTCTTAGAGTAAGAAGTAATGTGGGCAGCCCTACAGGAATTTAAGGTTTTCATAGGAGAGGTCTGTATTTCTGGAGAGGAGAGAAAAGAAAATCAGATAGACAAGTAGATAGATAGAAGACAAACTGATGGTCAGACACAGAGATGACATAGATAGAGAGTAAGAGAGTGACAGAGAGTTAAGAGAGCAACAGAGAGAAACAGAGAGATACTCAAAATCGCAAAAGAGACATTAAGGAAAGAAGCACAAATGTATCAGAGTAATTAATAAGTCAATAATCTGCTTCCCCACCATTCTCCTGGAACAGTGGCTATATAACAATAATTAACTCTTTTTTTCTGCAGTGGATGGGTTAGGGTTTGAGTCATAAAGGAAAAACGCATAATAAAAAAAAAAAACAAATAATAAAAAAAACAAATAAAGATAAAAACAAATGTTCTGTTTATATTGACAGATAGACTCAGAATCCAAATATGTTGTTGCAAATTTATTAGAAAGTTAAAGAAGTAAAAAACCAAAAATAAAAATACATAATATATGTACATGTGAGGATACATACACATATATTATTTATATGTATGTACACATACATATATATACATGTATATATACACATACACATATATGCAATCACTTACATTCTGATTAATATAATTTCCTTAAAGTACCTGCAAAGCTACAATGTATATAGACTTAAAAACATCTTCAATGAAATTCAGTTAACCTCCTTTCTGTGAAATAAAATATCTATACAACAAATATTATTGCTATGTTTTAGATATGTTTTAATTTTATACCTCAAAGTTTCATTTGTTGGAGGTTTGTTCCCTAGGGTGGTTCTATTAGTAGATGGTAGGACTTTTTCTTAAAAAATGTGCTTTATTGATGCATGATAGTTATACATAATAATAGGTTTCATTTTGGTACAATCATATATGCATGGCACATAATTCACTCCATTTCAGTTCCTAGTGCCTCCATTTTCCTCTTGTCCTCCCTCATCACCGTTACTTACTGGTGCACAGCAAGTGTCCCCAGGCTATCCAGAGTCCAAGTTCTTCTTATTATTTTTCTTTAGTACTGGGGAGTGATACCAGAGGGCTTTACCACTGAACCACATCCTCAGTCCTTTCATTTTTTTTTTTTCTTTTTGAGTTAGGGTCTCACTACATTACTTAGAGCCTTGCTTATCCTCCCACCTCAGCATCCTGAGCTTCTGAGATTACAGGTGAGCTCCACCAGGCCTGGCCATGGTCCACATTCTTGAAAACCAGAAAAAAGAACTGAGAGAGATGTGAGAGATTGGCAAGCAGGAAAATAGGGTTATTAACACTTAGGGATTTCAGAGTGGGCTGAGCTGCAAAGTAGCTCTAAGCACAGTAAACATAATGCTGATTCACCTTTATTAGGCCATGGTAGTTCCTCCCTTCTCACTTGGAAGGAGGTAATTTAGGGTTGACTGTCACTGTATTTGACTAAAGATTTTGAAAAAATATCTTCTCCACTGCCCATGCATGTTTCCCCCACTCTGGAAAATGCAGAGAGGAGGAGCCATCCTCCGTGCTAATGGTATGTTACCTAGCAACAACGTAACTTCAAGCCCAATATGGGGGCTTTCCTGTCAGGATCTTGAATTCCCCTTGTGGTCATCTTGCTTCCTTCATTGAACCAGAAGATGGCCCAGTTTCTCCCCATAGGAAGATGTTAAGTGGGCTGAGGGACCATACCCCTCCCTATCTCCTAACACCTCCCCTGCTCTCCTTTCTCTCCTCTGTAGTCTCCCTGTCCACCTTGAAATTAAAGTTCATCATTAGGTCTGTAATATGGTTTTGACTATGGAGAAAGACGTTGGGGAAAAGGTTTCCCCAAGGTCATTATCATTTTACTGCATTCTCTTTAAGGGGGGGCCTATAAGAAGTAGAAAAGAAGAAAATTTATTGTCAAAGGTACTGTGAAACTGCAGAGTTAAGTAGGTAAGAAAACCAGGAACAACAAATGTTGACTTCTACCAGCTTTTGAATTTAAGGTGTCTGGGATTCTCTGGTCCTAACCATTCACAAAGCAATTTTTCGGGTATCACTCTTACTTTAATTTGATCTGCTGCACCCACATTATCTAATGAGGAGATTAACAAATAAAGCAAATTCAATCACTGGAAAACACAGGTGAGATTTTCTTTTTCTTTTAAAATACATAAAGAATGTATGTTGGAAAGAGGAATTCATTTAAACTGCTAGAATTTTTTAAACAATTGCAATACACTGCTTTCTGAAGTAAATAGAAAATGAAATTATTAAGATGATGATAAGATAAAGTGTTTTCTATATATGACTGTGAGATAGTGAGTCGTGAGTACCACAAATAGAAAAATGACAATCATATCAAAGAATACTGTGGTGTCAGGTTTCAAATGCTCAAATAAGGGAGGAAAGTATCTTTGGGATGTGGTTTGGTTTAAGGAGCAATAAGGTTTCCTCTAGGACCTTGTGTTTTAGATAGTAGAGGAATGGTTCTCCAGCTTGTGCCTGTTTTGTTCTAGGGGACTGAGCAAGGTATATTTGCCAAGACTAATATGCTGTGCATTAAATTGAGGGGCTCTCTTACTGGAGAACAGGCTGTTTTTAAAATCAATAGAAAAACTAAAGGAGTGTGAACCTGTAAATGTAGAGAATGTGCCTGATCGCAAATCTGAATTACATTGTTGCTATTACCATTGCTGTTATTAGTATCATCATTTTGTAATGCCCCAGAGAAGGAAGCACTGTAATGACTACTGAATCCAGTACACAGACTTAATAGAACATTGATCTGCAATTTCCCCAAAGCTGGAAGTACCAAGCACAACAGAGGCAATGGGTGGGCTCCCAGCATACTGCTCAGTAGTCATGAACACTAAACTTAGCATATCTGAAGGCTGTGTTCTCATTAGCACAGTCTAGAATGAGAGGAACAGTTTATGCCCTTGGCTTAATTTGAGGAAGAACCTAGAAAAACCCTTTACAGTTATTCCACATACATGTCTCCACGAAAACATACAAGTAATCTCTACTAAAAGTACCTGGAATTCCATCACTGAGTGTTCATCTATTTAAATTATACTTTCTACTCTTCTTAAATTATTTTTAATTATCATTCAATGGCAATATCTTCCTGAAATATTGAATTGTCCCAAACTGGGAAATCTAATGCAATTACCATAAAATATCATGAAATATCAGAAGGATACATAAAAAAGTGGGCATTAAAGGAATGAATATGACCTTTTTCTTTCTTTTACTTTAATCCAGTTAAGAGACAAATGGTGTTTTGACTAATCCATGCTTATAGAAGTTATTTAATTTCATGGTAGAAATAGATACTATTGTGATAAGCGATAGTGAGATTGAAACTCTGTCATTTCCCAAATGAGATAATGGAAGCTAGGAGAAGTTAAACAATGTAGCAATGTTACATCAGCATCATATCAGAATCTAATTTGTATAGTTTTGATTCTCTTTCTATGACCCCATACCATATCTGGAGCTTGGGGTCAAATAAGGCACTATGAAGTCATCTAGTCAAGATCAAGGTTCATAGGAAGGAGAACATGTGAAAGTCTATAGTCTCAAGTATTTGAGGACACATGAGTGGATATTGTGAATAGGCATGGAAATATTCAGCAAGGGAAGGGAGGACATATGTTTTCACTTATGCATCAAAAATAAAGAAAAACATTTTCTTGTACAAACATTACTGTTTTTTTTCAAATAGATGTTGTTTCAAAATTAGATTGCCTTATGCAATATAAAAGCTATATTGAATCAAATTACATTTTCATGTAAATGCAAATATACCACAATGAATCACACAATTCTGTATAAATAATATGCATCAATAATAAATAAAAGAAAAAAAAGTAAATTTGTAAATAAACTTTAATAAAGAGTGAAGGAGGGAAGATACCTGGTAACAAGTGAGACTCAGGTGATTTATATGTTATCTCTCTGGACATTGTTTCTTTATCTGAAGTGGAAAAAAATGGATATAATACAGAAGTAAGAAAATTGGAAAATATGCAATTCATTTTCAAGTGTGTATGCCAATCAGGAATATCTATTCATTTTTATGTGGTTAACTATGAGAATTATTCATTTGTTCTGAATTAAAAATAAATGATTATGTTCCTTTTCATGTGTCCTTCAGGTAATTTGTCTCTGGGGAACATGTCCTCATGGACTCATCCCATGGAAAAAATAAACAATGTAACTGAATTCATCTTCTGGGGCCTTTCCCAGAACCCAGAAGTTGAGGAACTCTGCTTTGTGCTGTTCTCATTCTTCTATGCAGTCATTCTTCTGGGAAACCTCCTCATCATGCTGACAGTTTGCACGGGCAACCTGCTCAAGTCTCCTATGTATTTCTTTCTCAACTTTTTGTCTTTTGTAGACATTTGTTATTCTTCAGTCATAGTACCCAAGATGATTGTTGACCTGTTAGCAAAGAACAAAACTATCTCTTATGCGGGGTGCATGCTGCAACTCTTTGGAGGACATTTCTTTGGTTGCACTGAGATCTTCATCCTTACTGTAATGGCCTATGATCGTTATGTGGCCATCTGCAAACCCCTGCACTATATGACCATTATGGACCGGGAGATGTGCAGTAAAATGTTGCTGGGGACATGGGTAGGTGGGTTCATACACTCCATTATCCAAGTGTCTCTGGTAGTCCAATTACCCTTTTGTGGACCCAATGAGATTGATCACTACTTCTGTGATGTCCACCCTGTGCTGAAACTTGCCTGCACAGACACCTATATTGTTGGTGTTGTTGTGACAGCCAATAGTGGTGCCATTAGTCTAGGGAGCTTTGCGATCTTGCTCTTTTCCTACAGTGTCATTCTGGTGACTCTGAGGAAGCAGTCAGCAGAAGGAAGACGCAAAGCTCTGTCCACCTGTGGCTCCCACATTGCAGTGGTCATCATCTTTTTCGGTCCCTGTACTTTTATGTACATGAGGCCTGACACTACCTTCTCAGAGGATAAGATGGTGGCTGTATTTTACACCATTATCACTCCCATGTTGAATCCTCTGATTTACACACTGAGAAATACAGAAGTAAAAAATGCTATGAAGAAACTGTGGGACAAGAAGGTGTTTTGGACTAGTGGGAAATGGTTAGAAATATTAATTTAAACTGAATGATTTTTTGAATCATCTTAAATTTTCTCCACCTTGTTTAACCTCTCTGTACAATAAAGACAACCAGGACAAATTCACAGGATTTTAGGAAAGAACAAATGAAAAAAAAACATATTTTACAAAGAAAAGGTATGATCATTTTATCCTAATTATTTCAAAATCTGGTAATTTCCTGAAATCTATGCTAGGTATTCCTGTAACTAACAATCTTAAAATTATCATATTCAGTATCATTATTTTCTTCTCTGTTTTATGTTTTGTTAATTTTCAAAATGAGAATGTTCTGTGAAGTATTATCTAAAGCCTTTCCTATGGTTGTGAACTATGACTGGTGCATTTTATGCTTATAGCATGGATTGTAGAATACATAAAAAGCAATATATCAAAGCTAATGTTCTCCTGTATAAATTCTTCAAAAGACAGGGAAAACTAAACCAATAAGCCTGGACTGAGAGTAGAAGTGTTTGCAGAAGTTCAAAGAGATAACACCCAAGCTGATAGACAAAATATTAGTTTTCATCATTTGGTCTTGGGCAAATTCTTTCCATACTGTGGTGCTCATTGTACCCAAACAGTAAGAATATTGAGCTGATTAAGCTGTGAGAGTCCCCCTTTCAATGACAACATCTCAGTAGAATTATTTTTTTTCTCATTTGAATTGATATTTTCTCTGGTGACCCAGTTCTCCTTCTTTCTCCATGAGCCACAGCCTGAAATTAATTAATTAATTTATTTATTAATTTATTTATTTATTTTTAGTAATTATACATAGCTCCAATTGCCTCTGCTATTGATTCATTGTCTTTTCCTGACATCAATTATCCATGCTACTGCCTGTTCTTGGTTTTATATCTGTGGCTGGGTGAGGAGTATAAGCATGATTCATGGAAAGGACCATAGTGCATAATATGTGACCTGTGATAGGGATGTATCCACAGAATTAAAAGCAAAAAAAAAAGATTTTAAAAAATTCAAAAGATGTTTAAATTTGAAATTAAGACCATGTTTAGGTATTGTGCTTGAACAATACAAACTTGTATTGTTCACCATTTTATCCACTTTAGACATTCATTTGCTGGGTCTCTATGTGCCTCCATATTTTTAGATTTTGAAAGAAGTTGGTCAATGTTTTACAAACTCATCATGATAATCATCTTTTATTTTTCATGCACAAATGGACATTTTAAAAGAGAAGATTTTCAATTAGGCCAGGTTAAGGGTCTATAAGAATCTATATTTTAGACAAGTTTCTCTGTGAATTTCTGTGCAGGCAGTGACATGTCAGGAAACAAATTGGGGACCTGGGACTTGATGACTCTTCATGTTGTTAGAATGTAAGAGTTCTATGAGTTGATGGAATACAAACAGGTCTTTTGAATATTTCCCCCTGTGTTATGCTGTCCAGTGAACAGAGAGCTAAAATTGAGCTGAGCTTTCAAAACAGCATAATAAATAAATATCACACATTTGATAACTTCTCTCTATAATACTCTTTTTTTTATGCCTTTATACTAAATAATTGTTTGTCTGATGTCCCTGGGAAGGTAGTAGATAGCATTGTTTTGATTCACAGAAACCAGTAAGTAAAGCATATAAAAGAGTATTCAGGTTTTCACCAGCCACTTTATAAAGCTATACCTGTTCCTGAAATTATCTTTCTGAGTCAGTCCCTGTGGGAGAAGATAGGTGGACTTGTGATTCTTGGGAAGGAGATGAAAAAGAATCCTGAAAACTCAGACACTCCCCAGATCTGTTGTGTATGTGTATATGTGTGTGTGTACCTGGGATTGAACTCAGGGGCACTCAACCACTGAGCCACATCCCTAGTCCTATCTAGTTTTCTACTTAGAAACAGGATCTCATTGAGTTGCTTAGCACCTGCCTTTTCTAAGGCTGGTTTTGAACTCATGATCCTCTTGCCTCAGCCTTCTGAGCCATGGGGATTACAGGTGGCACCACTGTGACTGACTTGTCCCAGTTTTTAATCCAGGATCAGAATATGAATTTGAATAGTTTAAAAGGACATAAATTTGAATGGTTTGAAAGCTATAATAAAAATTCCACTGTTATTTGCATGTTTTATGTAAACATTAACAAATTGCACCCCAGTAATATCCATTTATTCATTACATTTCTTTTTCTAATTTCAAAACATTACACAGGTTGAGAAATTTTCCATGCTATACATTTACAAAACCAGAGTTCTTTTAAACACTTATAAAGACTTAAAATGAGTGTGTAACTCCTCAGTGTTTACCCTAAAGAATTAGTCATCTTACTACTATGCTACATGCATGCACATGTTTATAGCAGCACAATTCACAATAGCCAAACTATGAAAGCAGCCTAGGTATCCATCAATGGATGAATGGACAAATGAAATGTGATATATATATATATATATATATATATATATATATATATATATACACACACACAATGGAGTATTATTCAGCTATAAGAAAAAGTGAAATCATGGCATTTTTAGAAAAAAAAATGGATAGAACTAGAGACCATCATGTTTGGTGAAATAAGTTAAACTCAGAAAGGAAGTGAAGGGTCTTATGTTGCCTGTCAAATGTGGAAGCCAAAGTGGACAAAGGAAAAAAGAGGTGTGTGTCGGGAGATCCTCTAAAAATCATAGGGGCATGAGTGGAGGAAAGGGATCAAAGGACGAGAGCTAGAGCCAAGGTAAATGACGAAAGTAATATTGGCCAAATCGCATTGTTATATTGTGTACATGCATGAATATGTAACAATAAATCCTATTATTAACTACAATTGCAATGCACCAATAAAAAGATGAAAAAATGAGCATATAAGTATTTTCATTGTGATAAATTTGAAAGTTTGAAAGAAATAGATGTTAATCTTCAAATTTCAAGTTTTAATGAATGAAATATACCACCTAAAGGGTACTAAGAATTAAATACGGCAACGCTCAATAGTAATATGCAAGAGGCAAAATTACATTGCATTTTTTTATTTAGAAATACATGTTGTTAACTGAAAGGTCTGAAATAAACGGCATACTCATGTTTCGAAATTGCTTTCATTTTTCTTTATTGCAATGAAACCAATGAATGGAAGAAGTTAGTACCTCTCCCAACATAGCTGGTTTTTCCATGAAGATATTTGTTTCTAAATCAGGACATAAATACAGTTCTTACACTTTGCTCTGATAACAGTGTTATAGTGCTCATATGTGTGAACTCAGGAAGAACAGAATAAGTGGAAGAATGTCAGAGCTAGGAGGGACCAGGAGGTCATCTGATCTACTTCTTTTTTGTAAAATCTCAGAGAATCAAAGCAACAGAAAGAGAGTGGCCAGGGGTCTTCTCTCTTCAAGGTTTGTGACTGTGGGTGACAGCACAACCCATCTGTGCACATGTTGTGTTGATGACATTGATTGTGGATAGGGAACAAGATCAGGCAAAGGGTGCCAACACCAGAGGCTTCAATAACCTTCAGCTTGTCTTGGCCCCACAATCTCTCAGGGCCTTCTTCATGTGTGTATTTCTCAGTGTGTAAATGAGGGGGCTGAGCAAGGGAGGAATAGTGGTGTGAACAGAGCAAACACTGTGTTATCACTGGTAGAATCAACCCTGACATAGTCAAGAAATCCACAGTGATGTCTGAGCCACAGATGGTGGCACTTGAGAAGCAGGTCCTCAAGGTGAACAGGGCGATGGTATAAAAAATTACAAAGTCAACAAATACTAAAAGAGACATCACCCCTGTGGTGGTAATGATTGTCATGTGCAGGAGCCTCATGTCAGCTTAGCATAGCTTCAGCAAGGGGAACATGTCACAGAAGTAGTAGTCTTTCTGATGGTGGCCAGTCTCCATGAGCATCTATTAGGAACTTGGACAGAACAATGGGTTATCACAGTTGGTATGAAGCCACAGGGGTTCCCTTGGGGAAAAAAATGGTTGAGAAAATGTTATTCACCAAAATGGTGGTATTTGGGGGCAAGGAGATACCCAGACATTTGAGTACTGTTGGATATCATAAGCAACTTACTACAAATAAAAAGAGACCTAACATACTACCATAATCCTTCAGATGAGGTGAAAACTGGTGAATACCATATTAGGAATTGATATTTGGCATAAAACTTCCTCAGAGCGTTCTTGTGTGTGCAAGTTATTACTGTTTTTATTTCTCCAATTTTTAAACATATAAATGAAAGAAATCTTTTAAAAATGCTTTTTTGTTTAATTACAGGAGCTCCTGCATCACTAACAAGAGAAAATCAGAAGACAAGCCAATTTTAGAAATAAAATCTCACAAAAGGTTTAAACGATACAAACTTATCATACCAATACTATTCAGTGTACTAACAAAAAAATAAAAAAAAGAAATCTCCATTTTTTCACTTCTCTGAACCTATATTTTAATGAATGAAATTTTAATGAAAAATATTTTAATGAATGAAATATACCACCTAAAGGGTACTAAGAATTAAATTTAATTAAAATTAAAGACCTTGTCCAAATGATCTCTAAATCTCTCCCAGATCTTAAATTCTGGAACTCATTCTTTCTTTCTAGACCCCAGACATAATTGACATCATAGTATTTTACAATGGAAATTATAAAGGATCACAGTTTGGTTGTTGTGTCCTTTTTTAAGAAATTGTTAGCTTGACTGAGCAAGTCTCAGCATCTTTGCAAGAACCTGTCTCAAAAATTAAAAAGGGTTGAGGATGCAGATTAGTGGTTTAGTTGCCCAAGTATTTGACACTAGTCTCCTTAGATCTGCAGACTCAGAAACACTGTGGAAATGTCCACCCTAACACTCATAATTTCCACAAAAAAACATTTAATTCTCTTTCATGGGTCTCTAGGTAATCTGGAGTTCAGCTGACCTAGACTGGAAATGGCTGGGTTTAATTTAAGACTTCATAGTGGGCCCAGTAATACTTCATGTACCTCATTTCCCTCATGCATACAATAGCAGAGTTATCTTCCTCTGTTTGTCAAATCAAATT